AAAAGAGTAGGAAGGAAAAGAGCAGGAATAGGGAGGAGGGAAAAGAGAGGACGGAAAAGGGAAGGAGGGAAAAGAGGAGGGAAGAGGAGGAATAGGGAGGAGGGAAAAGAGCAGGAATAGGGAGGAGGGAAAAGGGAGGGAGGGAAAAGGGAGGAGGGAAAAGAGCAGAAATAGGGAGGAGGGAAAAGGGGGGAGGGCAAAGGAGGGAGGGAAAAGGGAGGAGGGAAAAGAGCAGGAATAAGGAGGAGGGCAAAGGAGGGAAAAAGGAGGTTCCCATGACCAGGAATAAGGCAGCACTCACTGGGAAGTGTGTGACCCAGTGGATCACCTCGGAGCCCGTGGCCAGATCCCGCTCGATCACGTCCAGTTTGATGACCAGGTTGTCCCACTTCTTCCTGTATTCCGTGTCCAGCTGGCAAGGAATTCCCAACCAAGGGTTTGGGTTGGGAAAGACCTTTAGGATCACCCAGTCTGGGAATGGTTTGGGTTGGAAAAGACCTTGGAAGATCACTGGTTGGATTGGATGATCTTCAAGGTCTTTTCCAACCTAAACCATTCCATGATTCCAAGAGACAAGTCCCCATTCCTCCATCCCAACCTTCTGGGATTGGTTTCATCCTGCCCAACATTCCCAGTATTCCAGACACTCACCTGCACATTGAAGAACTGCCTGGGAGTCACATCTGTGTAGGATCCAAACACTGTGGGAAGAGAAATCCCTCAGGCCCAGGGAGGAAAACATCCCAGTTTTTCTCTTGGAGGGACAAGATGGGAAGGAAAAGGGGTTTTCCAGAGGTTGGGATCCCCCCAGGAAGGGCCAAGAGGAGTTGGAATCCATGGAAGGGGAAGGAAAGGATGAGTATTTCCAGGTTTTGAGGGAATAGAAGCTGTGGAGGGGGGAGGAAAAGATGAGAATTCCCAGGTTTTGGGAAATAAGCTGTGGAAGGGGAAGGAGAAGAAGAAAATTTCCAGTTTTTTGGGAAAAGCTGCAGGGGGGAAGGATGAAAATTCCCATTTTTGGGGGAAACAAGTTGTGGGGAGGGAAGGAAAAGATTAAAATTCCCAGTTTTTGGGAAAAGCTGCAGGGGGGAAAGATGAAAACTCCCAGTTTTTTGGGAAACAGGTTCTGAAAGGGGAAGGAAAAGATGAAAATTCCCAGGTTTTTGGGAAAAGCTGCAGGGGGAGGGATTAAAATTCCCATTTTTTGGGAAACCAGTTGTGGGGGGAAAGGAAAAGATGAAAATTCCCAGATTTTGGGGAAATAAGCTGTGGAGGGGGAAGGAGAAGAAGAAAATTCCCAGTTTTTTGGGAAAAGCTGCAGGGGGGAAGGATGAAAACTCCCATCTTTTTGGGAAACGGGTTCTGGAAGGGGAAGGAAAAGATGAGAATTCCCAGTTTTTGGGGCAAACGAACTGCAAAAGGGGAGGGCAAAGCTGGGAATTCCCAGTGGGAATGCTGGGAGCCCTCACCTCTGTACTGGTAGAGGTGGGTCCCCTCGATGGGCCGACGCCAGAGCTTGAAGTGCTGCTTGTCCATCACCAGCTCCCAGGGAGCAGCTGGGAATTCCGGGCGGGAATCTGGGCACGGACACTCCCCCTGGGCCAGCCTGGAGCCCTTCTCCATGTGCTGCATCTCCTGGGCAGAGCTGGGCAGGGAAGGAGCCCCGGGAAGTGCTGAGGGTCATTGAAGGCTGGGGGGGCCCTCAGGATCCCGGGAACGGGCTGGGAAGTGTCCCCTGGCCCCATGGCACCAGTGTTCCCAGTGTCCTCTGTCCCCACTGTCCCCTGTCTCCATGGCACCAGTGTCCCCAGTGTCCCCTGTCCCCATGGCACCAGTGTCCCCAGTGTCCTCTGTCCCCACTGTCCCCTGTCCCCATGGCACCAGTGTCCCCAGTGTCCTCTGTCCCCA